GTGCTCCCAATGTAATGGTGGTAAGGCGCACAATGATGATACTAGTCTCAAACCATAGAAATGGACTTGGGTAAAGGGAGGGGTCGTAAAAATATTTTAATATTTGACGTTTTTAACACTTAAACAATACTTAGGGTAGGTTTTTTCAGATACGTAACGACAGGGACAATCTCAGTCACATTTAATCGTGCGTCAGACGATGCTTGAGGTGTCTATTCTTCAAATAAAATCGATAGGTTAATGTTAGACATGAAGCCCGCGTCACATGCCCAAGAGCGCGATGTCCAGTCATGATCGTTAATTCTTCGACGTCGTCGAAAATTTGGATTAACTGGTATATTGGAGTTGCCTACCTTCCAGCGACACAGTCATCAACCTCTTATAGCTATAAAAATTCTCGAGAGGGAAATTAGATTTATTACTCAATCAACGGATAATACTAATCTCCTCATGCCGTATCATTTTAATCTGCGGAACCGATAATTCTCACAAAATCCCTCTCATAGACAAGAAGTCATTCGATGAGTGCAAGAAGCCGAAGACTCACCACTAGATAAATCACTGATCGCGACTAATGAAAGCTGCCCTCTGTAAGTTTGTAGCCCTCTTACAATCATTGAAATATGATGAGTTCTTCGAGACGCTGCGAAAAAGGTCCTCAGTGCGGGGGCGTTGCCAGTATGGGCACAATCGTGTACGGAATTTAACGCATTGGAGATGTGATTTCCACGCGCGATGGCAACAGCTCCCATGGTGCCATTTCTTGGAAGCTATTAATCACGAATCTTATAACAGTCAGTAAGTAGCAAAGCCATCGCCACCACTTTCGATCCCAACCCGTAATCTGGTGACTAGACGCGCTGCTGAGAGCCGAGATGGTTTCCCGTAGAAAAGGTCATATCGCTGTTGCCTGCTCAGAATTGGACGGAAATAAGTGAAGAGTGGAAATAGAGGATTTGCAGGTGTCTGAAATTGTGAGAATTTTATTTGTAAAATGAAATTACTGGGAGAACTTAACACGAGGATATCCTTGGTTACTAAATTAAACAATCATTTGAGTAAATATAACCAAATAACCTTATCCGCTAACATACGTCATACACGTCAAAATGAGAGATGCCGCCAGATGACGTCGCAAGGCTGCAACATTTCTCTTTAAATATTTTTTTCTGTTGATTTTTCTACTATTTCCTATTTCAGAACTCAGCTCATTAATCACACTCAGACGAGGCCATAAATTTTGTGTGTGCCAATTCTCCAATTCAAAAACCTGGTAAGCGCGATAAGGTGTTGCTAAGATTGCGCATAGTCTTCGTCAATATTGACGAGAGCCTCTGAGTCTTGCACTAACAGCGGTGAGGCTCAGTAAAGTTTTGTGGGAAAGATTGTTCTGTTTGATTGTTCTTTTGATTTCCCGGTTGAAAATGCGCTTGTAATAGTTGCGGAACTTCCCGGTTTTTTATGTTGTATTATTCTTCGCGGTCTTAGTCGCGTTTTAAGCTGAATCTTTTGTATTGTCGTTTCGGGTCGATCAAGTTGTTTTTCTTTATAAGAGCATAAAGTCTCTGAACTTAAGAACTTTCTCTGAGAATTCTCTCCAGCCTTCACTCTTATCTTCGAGAAGAAAAATTTGTTTTTTCAGTTCACTGCATTCCCGTTAAAGGAGTAATATTTGTACGATCTTAGCAATTTATTTACCTACGTGTTTAGCTTCATAGTCGTAAAAGTACCTCGAGACACAAATACAGCAATGTGGGAATATACACATTTTCACAGAACTGTTTCAACGCTGCAATAAGCAGCGAAATAATTCGCAAAAATAAACGAAAACACGAGGTGAAGTCACTGCTCCTGATTGGGCATTTGGTGAAAAAATCCTCCTTTCATATTCGAGCAATCTTGACAACTAAGAGTGATATCCATTATTCGACCACACGGAAGCTCAATTTGCCTACACTGAAAACTGAAGGAAAAACGACTGTGAGGTAAAGTCATACTCCACATACCACGCTCGGTGAATTATTATTTCTGCATTCATCCCCGAACAATCGTGACACCCGAGAGTGATACCACTATTCGTCCACGCGGGAGCTTGGGTTGCCTACGCTGAAAACTGCAGGCAAACTGACAGTGCGAGGTAAGTTCACCGCACGCCACGCTCGGTGAGTTATTCCTACCACCGGTATGCCTATTGCGGTGCGTTGTGAGCACATGAGGCTATATTATAGTACCGCAATCAATTATAATAATTCTTTTCCACGTGGTATCTCATTACAACATCCAATGCTAGCGCTTTAACTGCAGGTTCGAGACTCAATTACCTCCCGGATCCCAGGTTCCCATCATCGGTGCTCGGTGGAGTAAAGAAATTCATCATTCCCGCTCGGGATCTATCTTTCTCAGCGAGGATTTCTATTTAATAAAAAAGCAATTCATCAAGCAAATTCATAAGTCTTTATTTCGAGCCCGCTTGATCAAAAAAGACGTATCTGTCTCATGAGCTGAGCCCTACAATGCTATTATCCTCGTGCTGCCCAGGTCCCACGTGCATTTTGCACTTTTGGGCCGGCAGAGCGCGCGGCCAGTACGGTTCGACCTGCCCCTCGCGATCACATTTCGAGTAAATGAATCAAACTTTCGCGCGGGCCGGCTCTGTCGCATTGTCGCGGTGCTTCTCCAGCCGAGTGAGTCACATGCGATATTAATATCCGAGGAGATTAGCGCGATAGCCCATTTCGTATCCTATCTCATTTGCCGGGACTTTCTTCTGATTGTTTATTGGAGAGTCTTAGGTTAGGTCCGTGCATGCCGCCTCGAAACAACGGGGTAACAAAGGAGCTAGGAACAATCTGGAGTCATATTCCTCTAAACCATTAATCATGTGAGAGGTTTTTGTATCAGGAGATAAGTTTCTGAGAGAGTAGTGGGTAGTCCGAAGTTTCCACCTGTCAAAATAAAGCACGAGCCTACCTCTGGAGTTCCCTTATTCAGAGAGTTGCAACATCCCCAATTCTGATCTCATTATGGGTCGGACAGATTTTAAAGTTAGTGACGTTTTTTCATGATTTTTGATCAACCTCATCCCACAGTCCGTTCCCCCATCCTCCCCCCTCCCTCCGACTACTATCTGCTACTACTATCTACTGCTTACTATCAGCCTTTATCTAGAATGTGCGGTCCTCAAAAATGAACAACTCGAATGCAAAAAATAAAGCAAATAAAAACTAAAATATAAGGGACAAAGTTTGTCAATATTGGAACCTCACAAATTCGTGTTAAAACTGGTTAATTAAAATTCGATGTAAATGATTTCTCTTTTTTACAAAATTTTCAAGAGGAAGCTCCCGGTGCCCTCTACAGCTCCGAAAGGTGTCTTTGACAGACCCCATCCGCACGACATGGCCACATGACTGCCACTGCTCTGTAGTTCCTTCAAAAATTTGAGGGCCTGTCCGGGAATTGAACCCGGGACCTCTCGCACCCTAAGCGAGAATCATACGACTAGACCAACATGCCAGGTGGAAATGAACGACGAGTATTAAAAACAAAAGAAAGTGAAATTTCGATCAGTGTAACGTGCCAGTCAGATTGCGTGTAAGACGAATTCACACAATCAGCGAAAATCAGCCGCGATGCCTCAGGAGGTGCTAATCCGTGGCTCACACCGCCAGCGCCACGAGAATATCACGGGGCTGCCGATTCGCACGCGATATTCTTGATCTAGACGATAATAATCCAAAACTTATTGGAATTATTACTTTCTCAAACTGAATTCCTTATTTCTCGTAGTTAACAGACAAACTGATCAGTTTTTATGTTTTTTCTCGAAGATTCACTACTGTATGGAGGACAAAAAACTTCAAATAATATCATGTACCACTGAAGTTTTCGGTCCGGGTATCTGCGAAGTTTTCAGTAATGGGAAGAGAACATTTGGCAATAGCAATTCGTGTTCCTCTCTGAAGATTTTGGTCGTCGAAACAAAAATATGCTTCCTGTGACCGAAAACTGTTCGGTTAATCTCTGGAAACCCGAAGTCCTTTCCCCACGCGTGAGCAAAAAAATTAACATTTCTCGACTAAAAATTTAGAGGGAGCAGAACTATCGGAAATTGAGCACGGATGTTACGCATATCGCCATTTTGCCTTCAATTTTCGAGATCGACCAGAAAACCTTCGTGCGGCTAATAGTTTTCTATTCGAGGATTTATAACTCGTGTTTTTTTTCTTTTCATAATCTAACTCGCGATAAATTATTTGAAAATTTACGATTGTTGACAATTGCTTTGGCTTTCTTCATAAGTGTAAGCCTTTGTGATTGATAATAAATAAATAATTTAAGTTTAGCAACATACCCAAAAATCATTTTGTAGAGGCATTGTTTTTAAAATGTAAAATGCAAGAAAGGAAGTTGCCTCCTTCATAAAAAGCGAGTAGCGGACAGGGTTAGAAAAATTGAAATATTTTGGACAAAGCTGACAACTGTTTTTTATTCGACTCAATTGACCATGAAACGCGTGCTAAGTCCCACACTTTGAAAAAAACCGCGAAACGATCAGTTTTCCCTTTCATCTTACTCTAGTTATTGCGGCCTATCCGCGAGCATTTAACAATTGCTGAATTATGCATGCGACGGGTAAAAGCTTTAATTAGATGCAACACAAACGCAACACGTACATTACTCATTAAGCCTAAATCTATACGTCTCTTTTTAATTTTCAGCGCCCGAACATTTAAATGTTTTTTATTCAGTAAAGCACAATGGTTCATCCGCTTTTTAAATTATGCTAATGAGTCTTTGTGGATTAAAGAGTGTATTTTTCCCTGTATGATAGTTTCCAATTGTCTGGAAAAACTTATTTATTTAACATCCAAATGGGGAGGAAACATCTGTTTGGTAATCCCTGTGAAAAATACCATGGATAAAATCCTGACCCTGTTACACATTTTTCAGTTTTATTTTCAGTAAATTTAAATGTATTTTAAAATTGTCTGTTACAGAGTGCCGGAGAACGAGGACTAATAGTAGAGGAGCAGTGTATTTTTAACAAAATATAATAGTAATAAATACAAAATACGCAATCGGATTAACGAAAAAAAGGTAATTGCACGATTATAATGCCTACCGCTTCTTTACGTCATTTTATCGGAATGATACTACACCTTTATTCTTGAACTTTTCCCTTAATAATATTACAGAATTTCAATAGCTTTGAAGTGTTTTATGGAAATATGTCAAAAAAGTAACAGTGAATCTCTGATGAGATTTTGACAGGACTTTAAAATCCATGTAACAATATTTTGAAGTAGGTCGATGAATACATTTGCATCGTAAATGATGAAAGATCTTCTAAAAGAGTCTTTCCTTTCTTATGATTGAAAATTTCATGGTAAATTAAAACTTCCGGATCCCATTGTCCAAACAAGTGTTTAAATTATCAGTCAATTTGTAGTCTCCTCGAATGTGTAATAAATATGTGAATGTTTCTAGCATGATATTCCCACTTTCAATCTTTGTTTGAAAGGAAGAAGGGAAGAGCAGAAAAACTGTCATTCATGAACGCTGGTTGAGACAAATTTCAGCGAACTGATGATTGTATAAACATTCCAACTTTCCGTCATTTTTCTTAATGGACCTAATATCTCGAATGTACATACAAATGCACGTAAACATAGAGGCAATTTGTAATGATACAAACCGACCAATTTTGTATTGACACAAACCGAACAATTTTGCAAAAATCCTCTTATACCATACATTTTGTTTAAACGATTGAAAGCTTGTGTCTATTGTGTATCTAATGCGAGAAACCAGTAAATCTGGCAATGCAGCATACCTTCATAACATTCACGAGCCATAAGGAAAATATGATCGTCGCTTTTCTGATTTAATAAGATTTATTTCGGAGGCACCGTTTTCGATTGCTCTATTTCTGTTGGCTAGTTACATGAGCGCCACTATAAGAAAAACGATTTGGTTAATAATGCTCAATAAAAGTTGGGCAACTCAAGATTGATTGCGCGCACTTCAGGTCGCTTTATGACGCAAGAGAAATGACAGTTTTTACTTTTCATTGAATTGCGAGTTAGGTCTTACCCTTTTTTTAGTTCAAAGGATGGCATACTCGTGTGCTAAAGAAAAACGCCGTGAGAGCCTCCAGGCGTTGCCACAATTTCCTTGACAAATCAACAATTTTCAGGAAATTTGTGGGTATTTTTCTTCCAATTTCTCAGGTATTTTTGTTCGTAATTTGACCCAATATCCAAAAAATATGAACATTGCAAGGAAAAATATTGATACTCGTAATTTTCCTCACAAGTAAACATTTTATCGGAGAAGATTTGGCAACTCTCGAATGTTCATCCGGCGTTCTTCCTTAGCTCGACAGTGTAACGGTCCGCCAAAAAATCGGAGTTTTGAGGTTAAAATAAGGCGGGTTTTCCGTGTGTTTCCCTAGTTATTCCGTGAACTTTTTGGTTATACCTCGTTCTTTCCGTATTCTTCTCTCCTTTCCTTCTTACATAATGACCATCAACGTCCGTCACAGCTGAGTTTAAATCATGTCTTACCAAAATCACCATTTTTCCGTTTCAAGTTCAAGCTGTCAGCATTCGCGGGGAATTGCACCAGACCCGAAAACGCGAAGATGAAATTTCTAGATTCGCAAAAACAGTTATGCTTGGCACGTATCTCATTATCGTTGTCGCCAATTTCCATGATAAATCGAAATTTCATTTCAACAGCCGCAGTTCATGTATCAACCTAGCCTCATACGGCAATCTTGAACTCACATGTAGCGGTCATATTCATACATCATCAAGCGTCTTTAAGGAGACGCTAATCGATTCATCAACGTTGCCGGTGCGTAAATTAAAGCGCGTTATTTTTCGGCGTACTTTTTTGTAATTGTTCGACAAGTATAAAGGGTATTTTCACTCATCTGCTCAATTGGAAACCAAGCTCTATTGCTCATAACATGTTCTGTGCAAGGGAACGGATGTTCGCCTCCAATTTCTTGCATTGTCAAAATCAGCTCAAAAGAGTATAACTATAGTTGCCTATCAGGTTGAAATGACGAGAGGAAGCTTATTACATTTACATGAAATCGAAGCAATAATTAGGTATATCGACGGCGTAAGTCCACAATCACATATTTCGTTTACGGTGTCTGAAAATCTCCGCCTCTATGTTATTTTTGAAAGGAGAACAAATTGACATCATCCCTTGAAGTTTTTGCGGAATTTTCTTCGCACAGAGAAGAAAAATTACGTGTTTTAAAGAATTGCCTTCGAGTAGCTTTCCGTTTAAAAGATAAAGTATGACAGAAAGTCTGCGACGTTGCAAACCGAGTTATGTGATTGCCGACTTACACCGTCGATATGTAAACCAAGAGAAGAAAATTAGTTGGATTATACGTAGCACGTTTTAAATGATAATAATCCATTCAGTGTGCGTAAAAACTCCATCTTAGTATCAAGTGCTTTTTATTTTTTTAACTTTCGATTTTTTGCCTTGTGATGGGGTTTTGGCATTTGCACATGGGCACAAAAAACCAATCAAGTTTAAAACTACGTAACTCCGCCCGTTTGAATAAGAGCGCCAAACACAGTGCGGTGAGCGTGGAATCCGTAATAGCGCCTGCAAGACTGAGTGAATACTTCACGCATTGCGCTAAACACGGTACGGTCGGCTGGGTCGGCTCGGTCGGCTCGACTTCCGTATTAGCGCCTACAAGACCGTGAGAATACTTCACGCATTGCGCCAAACACAGTGCGGTCGGCTCTGTTGGCTTAGCGCTTAATTTTAAGACACCCTACATTGTCATTGGTTTGGATCCTATCCACAATAATTTAGAATCCTGCGTGGCGCCACGACTACACTGCCATGTTATGGAAGATTGCCGCATGAACACTCGGGAGTTTTCAAGTTTCCCTCGATATAAGGTGTATATTTGAAGGAAGTTATGAATAATTGTCCTTTAAATTTTCAGGAACTTTATGAGAAATCGCGAACAAAATTATCTTCACCTCTATGTTATTTTTTTAAAGGAGAACAAATTGACATCATTCCTTGAAGTTTACGCAGAATTTTCTTCGCATAGAGAAGAAAAATCAGGCAGTTTAAAAGAATTGCCGTTGGGTAGTTTTCCGTTTGAAAAATAAAGTATGACAGGAAGTCTGCGACGTAGCAAACCGAGTTACGTGATTGCCGACTTACACCGTCGATATGAGATTTAATGAGTACACGATTTTTAATAATTCACAAAATCTTCCGAGGCGTCATGTTGTTAAAATTCCGATAAAATAAGTGCAATCTGAGAGGAATGAAAACAGCGTTCATTGTAGGTAGGTTGACTCTCGTTGGGTCTGTCCGGAAGAAACAGTGCCCAGAATTAGTATCCTCAACTCAACTATTTATTGACTTGACTAATACGACTTTTTCATTCCGAATAAAATCGGGGGCCGTACCGCACTGACTCCTTATTCAGTGATCCACGGGAGCTGTTTTCCATTTCCGTTGAGGCCCACGTCCGCTTTCACTCTCGAAATTAAGTCACTCTCAAACCTGAAATTTTCTGTGTATATTCTTCATAATCTAGGGCACATTCACGGCCTGTTCTACGGCGTCGTGTTGCTCAGTTTTCTGTTTAAAAAATACAACATAAGTGGAAATAAAACAACGTTTAACGTGGTTAGGCTGCCGCGGGTTGAATATGTCGAAGGTAGGTACTCGCTCATCGGTCCTGTGGGAGGAGGCGATCGACCAATTAAAAATTTGAGTGTTCACAAAATTAATTTTAGAATCGCTGCATTAGAAACCATTGGAGCTGGCTGGTCCTTTCTTTGATTGGTCGCGCGATTCAAAGAGCGCGCAAATACGACTGTAAGGAGAGCATCAAAGAAATTTCATAGTAAATCCTTAAAACTGGGATCACCGAGGTGTCTGAGGTTCTAAAACAAATCAATGAAACCTCAAAAAACCGACCAAAATTCGAGGGAGCCATGCTGACACGCCGCTACCGGAATTGGGGGCCCTTCTCAAAATACGTAACTCCATTGGCGGATCCAGCAAATTGGTAACATTGCTTTTCTCCATTTAAACCCATGGAAATTTATCGATTCTTGGAGGGGCCAGGTGCTCCAACAAGAATCGATTGTTTAACATAGGTTTAAATGAAGGGAATTCGGTGTTGCCAAATGCTGGATCCGCCTCTGCATAACTCTAAATTTCGGATTTTCCGACCCTCCTCCCCCTCCTACTCGTGACGTTGTCATGACGTAAGTTCCTATTCTCAAACACGTTAGAGACAAAATGAACCCTCCTTCCAATGAGAAATACATATTTCATGAACTTATTGCCCATTTAAAGAAACGTGATTTTGAACGATCAAGACTAGTGGATCGTCCATTTCTGGGCGTGCGAGTAGGCACCCGCACGTTCGATATACTGTGACGGGGAAAAACGCCGTATGAGCCCTCAGGCATTGGCATATTTCTTTGGATATGTAAGGCATATAGTTCTGAATATATTTTTTCCAATTTTAAAGACACTTTCGTTTGCAATATAATCTAAAATTTCTGAGAACTTCGAGGAAAAATATTCATAACTCGCTTCAAAAATACATATTTTGTCGAGGGAAATTTGGCAACATTTAAATGATCATACGGCGTTTTCCCTTCGCACGGCCGTATAGGTTACCCAAAATCTGTCCAAACTGCCGTGCTAAGGAAAAACGCCGTATGAGAATTCGAGTGTTGCAAAATTTCCTCTCACAAAATATGTATTTTTGAAGCGAGTTATGAATATTTTTCATTGACATTTTCAAATTTTTTACATCGACTTACGAACTAAATCCTCGAAAAAAATTGCAGAGAAATATTCACAAATTTTTCCAGAAATTTGAGATTTGCCGGATAGAATTTGGCAACGCTTGATGGAAAAACGCCGTACGAGCATTCGAGTGTTGCCAAATTTCCTCTCAGAAAATATTTATTTTTAAGGAAAGTTATGAATATTTTTCATTGACATTTTCAAAA